TTCCTGCTTGAAGACATTTTCTATAGCGGCATGCTGGGCAGTTTTTTCTTCGAATTTTATCAATGATGCAGTCATTTCTTCCAGCACAAAGATAATTGTGCTGTCCTATATGGAAAATAAAGGCACTGTTAAAATTTCACAGGCCTTAAAGGATATTGTTATGGAGAGGCTCTTTGCTGTTGTTGTTGTTTTGGGTGGAACACAGCCAAGGACCAAAGGCATTGATTAAGGAACATATAGTGTACTTTCTTATGTTCATTACAAAGTTGAGAGGTCAACTTAAAAAGCCTTTCATATTCTGTTTGACAATCATAGTTCATTAAAAAAAAACTTTACTGCAGTATACGTATAGAAAAGCTCACAAATCCTGAGTGTACCACCTAACCTAATAAATTTTCATAAGCCGAACACTTCTATGTAATCAGCTCTCATATCAAGAAGCAGAACAGTTCCCCCACAAGCCCTCTTGTTGCCCCCTTCCAGTCCCTACTTACCAGGGGTAACCTCTTTCTTGGTAAGCTGTTCTTTAAATTGTGCTTTAAACAGTTGTTTCTTCTAACAATTAGAGAAGATCTCTGTATTTTATTTATTCTATTTATAGAAGATCTCATTATTTTATTATGACTTCTAACTTAATGCTAAGGAGGACTAGAGAAAGAGGAAACTGGTTTAAAAATACTGTGAGAGTCGCACAAGGAAAATGACTTTAATTCAGCATTGCACCACCGTATGCAAATAAAGCGTGCTCCCCTTCCAAATTTTTAAATAAAGTGATAGGTAAACACTTAAATTATGTTAAGGTTGCCAGCAATTAGTTAGGTGTATCACAGACTTGGCAAACTAAGCTGCTGTATATAGGACTTAGGGAGATTTGTTCATTATTTCACATGCTTTTTGACTCCAAATACTAAAGATCGTTACTGTTTAAAATCTTCTGCCACCCAGTATTAAATGTGCTAACAGGTAGGAATGCAGTTTTCACCTGTCAAAAATTTTCAAGGAAAATTTAAAAGGGACTTCCCTGGTGGCGCAGTGGTTAAGAATCCGCCTGCCAAAGCAGGGGACACAGGTTCGAGCCCTGGTCCGGGAAGATCCCACATGCCGTGGAGCCACTAAGCCTGCGGGCCACAGCTCCCGAGCCTGCGCACCTAGAGCCTGTGCTCTGCAGGAAGAGAAGCCACCACGATGAGAAGCCCGCGCACCGCAACGAAGAGTAGCCCCCGCTCACCGCAACCCGCGCACAGCAACGAAGACCCAATGCAGCCAAAAATTAATTAATTAATTAAAAAGGAAAACAAAAAGGGACAGACAGAAAGTCTTCCTACCCTCTCCCTCCCCTCAATTGTACCCTCTTTTGTTGAAGAAAACTATCTGAAGATTTGCTAGCCTGGCAAAAACCGAAAGGATCCTCCTACACAAGACCGGCAGATCTAAATAGATACACTAGATAATTAAGAGTCTGTGTCTTTACACTAGAGGGGATGGTCTTCAGAAGACTACAGGACATTTGTCTTCTCAAAAATAAATCATATTCAAAGAAAAGAGAAAAAAATCATAATCATCAATTCATTAGGTTGAATATACCTAATTTCTGGGAAAAGATACTTCATGCATAGAATAATCTACTTGACTTGGATGAAAACAAACTATATTCATTTCTTCCTAACATGTTAAATCACACTGCTTGTTAAGCATTAGCTTGGGGTAGATGGTTAACTGTATCAGGTTCAATTCTTTGTGAGAAATAGGCCACAGAATTGACTAATGGTCTACAATTCAGCTTTGTTCCAGAGTTGTTCTCCAATGCCAAATGTCTGTACGAGCTGTTTCAATTCCTTTCTGTATTGTGTAAGTTTGCTAGCTTCTTTACTTGGACATGAAATGGAAGCACTAATGCAATAATTCTATCCTCTATACAGTTGAAGTAGGAACAACAGATGCCATCATAATTGAAGCAGTTACAACACAAAGAAGTTCTACCCCATAAGAATATCCCTGAATCACTGTCCTGTAGTTAATTGGAAAAATTACTCATTGCTAAACACAGGAAAAGTGTCAGTGCGTTATTTATATCTAACCAAAAGATGAGAATGTGCATGTTATGCTAATAATGATTTCTTTATCCCAGGCATGTCTTGAGCACAATTAAGAATCTGAGCTACACGATCAAGGGGCATTGTACCTTCGTAAGTTCAAATCAGCTCTTTCTGGTTATTAGTATGAAGTTGGACAAGCCTTTGGGTGTCTTATCTATAAAAAGAGGAGTTTCGAATAGTGGTCACTATTTACAAGGCATGGACATGTACCACTAATAGTCACTCCCTGTCAATCATTTTGATAAGAAGACAATAAGACATCTTAGTTTGGAATTCCTGTGTCTTCTACCACTTGGTAAATTCCCTTTCTAACTAAAAAGAGAGAGTAGATATCAGAAGAGCCTTCGGGCCAGCTGGAATTTCTCAACATTGTTTTGTTTGCATTGTATTTATATTTTTATGGTAAAAATCTATTTTTGGCAATTGATTCTATTTCTATCTCTGGTAGACGTGGTAGCCAGCCTCCAAATGGCCCCCAGTGGTCTCTGTCTCCTGGTATTCACACTCTTAGATAGTCCCTTCCCAAACGATACCAGCACTGGTCTGTGTGACCAATAAAATACAGCACAAGTGACAAGTACGTCACACCTGAGATTAAGTTATAAAGATATTATGTTCCCATATTTGTCACAGCCTCTCTTGTGGATCATCTGTTCCAGGGGAGGCCGGCTGCTATGTTGAGAGCAGCACTAGACGAGGCCCACATTAATGAGGAACTGAAGCTTCCTGCGAAAAGCAATGTTAATGGGCTGGGAAGTGGATCCTCTAGCCCCACTCAAGCCTTCAGATGACTGCAGCTTCCACCAACAGTCTGACTGTAACTTCATGAGAGTCCCAGGACTACCCGGCTAATAAGCTGCTCCCAAATTCCTGACTCTTAGAAGCTGCGTGATATAATAAACGTCTCTTGTTTTAAGCTACTCATTTGGGGGGTAATTTGTTACACATCAATAGATAACTAATACAGTAGGGATGGTAAAGTTGTTTTAAAATAAAGTTATAAAGAAGAGTGATCCAAGAAAAATATTAGGTAGTAAATAGAACAGTGATGCTTGGACATGATCAAGATAATGAAAGTGGTACAGGAAATGGGCAACACAGCAAAGGGCATGTCCTAGGGTTTTCTGTAGTTTGTATACCCTACAGGAAGAATCCAAGTTTCAAATGTGAACTGTGACTGTCAGCTTGAGCATCTTTCTTTACTGCTCTCAAAAACAGTGTGGTGTGGTGCAAAGTGCACTCGGCAAAGGGCCAGGAAGCCCTTGGTCTGATTTGCAGCTCTGCTGCCTAGCTGTGTGATCTTAGTAATGTTTATTAACCTTTCTGAACCCCCTGTTTCTCCATCTGTAAAGTTGGAAAATTAGCACTTACCTTGCTGTGTTTCTGCAAGGGTTAAAGGCAGTTGTGTAGAAGGTTCTTAAAATAGTGCCTAGCACATTGTAAGCACTCAATAAACACTAGCTAGTAAATAATTCCCTTGTTATTGCTTTCATCTCAGTATTTAACTAGAGTATAAACTGCCAGGAGATGAGATTTTTATCCTTTCAGGAAGTCAGTATAGCATTGAGATTAAGAGCCTGTTTGGAGACAGCTATGTTTGAATCCTAGCTCTGTCAAACTGTGTGAACTTCAGTTTCCTAGTCTATCAAATATGGATCATAATAGCATCTAAGATCTCACAGCTGTTAAATTAAGCGGTATGACATATAAAACACAGTGCTTGGTACATCGTAAATTAAGGGTAGCTGATGTCCATCTCCATTATGACCCACCAACAAAGATTATATACCCACCAACAAAGATTATATGCAATTGGTGCAAAGGGAACATAAAAAGGGACTCAGCGAAAAAAAAGATCATTCAGCTAGTATACATCTAAAGAAATGGAGCTACCCAAATTCTTCTCTGTATGCAAAAAAGCAATTCCTAGAATAATGGATAAAAAATTCAAAATATCAATCCTCGATCTGGGTTGTATGGATAATAAATAAGTAAAACTTTTGCAAATTTCCTAAAAATATTTAAATGTTTGGGTATTTACAATACTTTGCCAGTTTGGTGGACAACCTATAATTTCTAGCAGGTGTTAAAAATGGAATGAATGTAGTGTAATGAAAATACAAGCTTCATCTTTGTAAGTGTTCAAGAAAGTGCTCCAAAATATGTATCTGGACTTAAAAACGGATTTCCATCACATCCAGAAAGGAAAAGTAGAACTGCCATGAGTTAGTTTAGCAAATGATTACAGAATTTTAGAGCTGGAAGTGACCCTGGAGAAAATTTAAGTCCAAATAAAGGATTTACTTAACACAGTTCACATTTTAACCTTTTCTTATTAATCATGTAATCTAGCTATCATATTTAACTGAAATACTTATTGATATACATTTTGAAATAGTATAGCTAATATTCAATGAAATTTTACCTTAAAACAAGCATAAGAATTTAATTCTAAAGCAGAGATTAAGCCCAGAGGGAATATGGCCTGCAGTGATGTCTTATTTGTAGTATGTTTAGCTTTTTTTTTTCTTTTTTAAATTGCATTTGGATGCTTTTAGGTAGGGCATGCTTGCACTCTCTAACATAAATAACTGCCCTTCCTTGCCCACTTGTATTATATTTGGCCAGAATGACCCACACGCAGTCCCTGTAGGCATTGGAACTGGAATTTGTAGCCCTGTTTTAAGGAATGATTTTAGTTAAAATGAGGACAAATGAAAAAAAAATTTTTTTAATTCCTGTATTTCTCTTAAGGCTCCATTGTCTCATTCTGAATTTCACGTTCAGAATTAAAATTTGTCAATATTATTTTGATGTACAGAAATACCGTAATACTGTTATCACTGCATTTATATATACCATGGAAAGAACTAATCAGTGAAGAAAGTGCTGAATAAAGTAAGGACAAGAAGAAGCTTCTGTCTGTGGTAAATAACATCTACTTTGTTAGAGACATTGCATTAATTAGGGGTGGGCTTTACTTAATGACTCTACTCAGTAGTTGGATGGTACCAAACCGGTTAAAGCCTGCATCCCTGTGCTCTCTGCGGGATAACACAAGTAATTTTATAGTTTGTTAATATATTAAAAGCAATCCAAACAAAAGAAAATGACTCATCTAACTCTTAAGGACATGCAAACTCAACTGAAGCCAGATAATAATCTTTCTCGTACTGTGAATGAATACGTTAATTTTTTTAAAAATATAATTATCTAATCAGAGCTTTAGGTAATCCATTCAGGCCACACTGCCTTCCAAATGCTTTACAAATAACTAAATTACAAAAGAGTTTTTTCTAAGAGGATTCACTGGTAATATTAGAAAATTTTAGTGCGACTTCCAATACTTTGCTTATGGAATGAATTTTTCCTTCTTTAAGGAGCTGATGTGCAGGCTGAATCTGTAACAAGGGTAAAATTTATATGAAAATAATACTTGTCAAGTGAAATCACCTTCTCTAAAACACTTTCTTTCCTGACCTCCTCAGGCAGTTTGTCACTTGCTCCTCTGTATTACAATCAAGTACACTGTGACCTCCCAGAGAGCAGGGATCAGGTCTTACACCACATTTCTATCACAAAGCACAGGCCTGGCTTACTGGAAAACAAAACAAAACACTTTTCCCCCTCACAGTTCTCATTATCACTCATTTTTGCCAGACTGGAGTAGTTGGTGGCTTTAAAACCAGCTAGTTCATGGGAATTAAAGCCCATAATACTAACACAATGAGCACTAGTTACTGCTGAAACCTAACACCATCATTTCACATGATAGCACTTTCTTAGTTATCTTCTGTTCTCTGACCCATACTCCCTCCCTTCAGTTCACAGTTTTCTATTTTCTTCTAGTCTGTTTTTTTAAAGTGTCTCTTCCCCACTAGAGCACTTAGGAGCTACCCTCCTCCCCCTGCTTTTACTGACTTCTAGCCTTAATGGGCTTTGCATATAACAGAAATTTCAGAATCCACTCTGAGAAATCGGAACCAAACAGAGAAATAATAAAACTCTTCAAAACACACACTACCTTCCACTGCTCTTTTGAAGAATACTTTACAGCTTCCACAAGTTAAGACCCCATAATGACATCCCGAAGCTTCATCAGAGCACACTAGGCAGAGCTTGGGAGGTGGTCCCGTTGCTGCTGAGGAGCTGGATGGAGGAGAGCTCACATCTGGTCTCATTCCAGGGCTAAAACAGGAAGAAAGCAGTGTGACGATTTAACTGTCATGCCTGTCACAGAAGGATCAAAATACAGTTCTCTTACCTTCTCACTCCACAAAAGAACTCTGGCTTCAAGTACTAGCAAAAGCATGAAAATACCCTACCTAGATATAGTCAAATAACGTTTTATTCTTCTATACAAAATTAGGAGTGAGGTAATTTCCTCTTAAGTATTCCCTGGGAGTTCCCTGGCGGTCTGGTGGTTAGGATTCGGTACTCTCACTGCCGTAGTCCACGTTCAATCTTTGGTCGGGGAACTGAAATCCCAGAAGCCGTGGGGCGTGGCCAAAAAAAAAAAAAAGGAAGAAAAGTATCCCTTAAAAAGAATGGACTTAGATATTTAAATTTTTAGTTGCTTGGGAGTGGTTTATAATCACCTTTACTAAAGTATCATTTACATACAATAACATTAACCATTTATAAGTGTACAATTGATGAGTTTTTGTTAAGTGGATAATTGTGTAACTACCACCGTGATCAAGACATATAGTATATATTCCATCAACCGCCAAAGACTCCTGAGGACATCATTTTTTCCCCTCTAATTTTAAGATATTGTACAGGGATCTTTCTAATTTCATTCAAGTCTCATTACAATTCTACCCATTCCTCTGTTTGAGTCAAAATTTCTTACAATATACACATAATTTGTTCTATTGTGCTTCACTTTACTGCACTTAACAGATGCTGCAAAATTGTCAGATGGTTAGTATTTTTTAGCAACAAAGTATTTTTTTTGAATTTTTGAATTTTATTTTATTTCTTATACAGCACATTCTTATTACTTATCTATTTTATCCATATTAGTGTACACATGTCAATCCCAATCTCCCAGTTCATCACACCACCCCCACCACCACTTCCCCCACTTGGTGCCCATAGGTTTGTTCTCTACATCTGTGTCTCTATTTCAGCCCTGCAAACCGGTTCATCTGTACCCTTTTTCTACGTTCCACATATATGCATTAATATACGATATTTTTCTCTTTCTGACTTAGTTCACTCTGTATGACAGTCTCTAGATCCATCCACATCTCTACAAATGACCCAATTTTGTTCCTTTTTATGGCTGAGTAATATTCCATTGTATACATGTACCACATCTTCTTTATCCATTCGTCTGTCGATGGGCATTTAGGTTGCTTCCGTGACCTGGATATTGTAAATGGTGCTGCAATGGACATTGGGGTGCATGTGTCTTTCTGAATTATGGTTTTCTCTGGGTATATGCCCAACAAAGTATTTTAAAATTAAGGTACGGGGCTTCCCTGGTGGCGCAGTGGTTGAGAGTCCGCCTGCCGATGCAGGGGACACGGGTTCGTGCCCCGGTCCGGGAAGATCCCACATGCCGCAGAGCGGCTGGGCCGGTGAGCCATGGCCGCTGAGCCTGCGCGTCCGGAGCCTGTGCTCCGCAACGGGAGAGGCCACAGCAGTGAGAGGCCCGCGTATCGCAAAAAAAAAAAAAAAAAAAAAAAAAAAAAATTAAGGTACGTACATTGTTTTTCAGACACACTGCACACTTAACAGACTACAGTATAGTGTAAACATAACTTTTATATGCACTGGAAAGTGACTTGCTTTATTGCAACATTTTCTTTCTTGCTGTGGTCTGGAACCAAACCAGCAGTATCTCTGAGGTGTGACTGTATTAAAGTTTGGTCCAGCATCTCTCATTCCCAATGTCATCCTAGCTGAAATGACAGTTTTTTATGACTTAGAAGAGAATGATGCAGAAACATTACCTCCTACAACTTTCTAGTCTGGCTTGCAGCAAGTAAGACTTTTTTCCAGCACTGGGCTTTCAACAGTAAGGACTATGCTGCCCTCCCCACTCTGTGTACATATGCCCTGGAGAAAAAGATGGAAAATGGGAATCTGCTTCTCCTGCTAGGTCTTGTTTTCATTTTGTAGACTTCTCACCACAAAAGATAAATATTCCTTTTCTAATTTGTTGTTTTGAGAATTTTCAAACACTCAAAAGTTGAAAGTATTGTGCAATGGATGTATAGCCTTTACTTATACTTACCAATTCTCAACATTTTGCCACATTTGCTTATAAAGATATATTTTTATAAACCAACGAAACAGTGATCCCTTTAAGGCTCGAGGAAAAATTAACTATAAAACCTTCATTATAGATGATACAGTCGTTTCCAATGTTGTATATTTCTAAGGAATGTTCATCTTACATGCTAACTTTAGAACCAAAACTGTATTGTGTACTGTATAACTCAAAAGAGTTCCTAACCTTTCTAACCTTGTGTAACTAAAAAGAGTCCCTGAAAATAGTTTCTAGAGACTGCTAATTCCTTCTCTGGTCATGTGTTCTTCAAAAATATGGATGGTAGCAATCTGTTGATTTTGGAACTTTACACATTAAAAGTGTATTGTTCATCACCTATATAAGAAATCTCTCCCTGAGATTTTCTTTATCTGCCTATTCTCTAAAAGAGATGGCGTTTAGGGATAAATTTTCATAAATAATAAATTATTATTAAATTTCAATTACAAATATGCTTAAACTAAATCACAGAGCAAACTGACTTAAGAAATTGTTTGGGTAATTAACATGGTTAGAAATTATATTTATTAAGTAACATCTTTTTGTTACTCTGTTTTTGGAATAAAAGTTAAAAGTTGGACTTCCCTGGTGGCATAGTGGTTAAGCATCTGCCTGCCAATGCAGGGGACATGGGTTTGAGCCCTGGTCCAGGAAGATCCCACATGCCGTGGAGCAACTAAGCCCGTGCGCCACAACTACTGAGCCTGTGCTCTAGAGCCCGTGAGCCACAACTACTGAAGCCCGCGCGCCTAGAGCCCATGCTCTGCAACGAGAAGCCACCGCAATGAGAAGCCCATGCACCGCAACGAAGGGTAGCCCCCGCCCAGCAGCGAAGACCCAACACAGCCAATAATTTTAAATAAATAAATATTTAAAAAGTTAAAGTTAATTGTAGAATGACAATTTGTTTTGTAAATGTCACTTTAAATAATTAGGTCGATAAACTCCAAAGCTCCCCCTGAATTCTGTCCTCAAACGAAGCTAGCCAACCCTATGTTCATCTAGAGGCTTAGCGACTGACAGCATTCCCACCACTCCAGTTCTGGGAATAGGCCCCAGGGTTTCATATTGTTCTCTGAACACTGTCAAGGAGAATTTCTGGATGCTTCTGTATCACAAGGCATTGATCCCCTGCGAGATTTGGGAGAGTGTACTGAGTGCATATTGAAAGCCTACAGTGGAAGAGAATCACCTGAAATGACTCTGCTGTAGGTCTGGCACGAACCATCCTTGATTAATGGAAACTTGTGACTAATGTAGCAGAGCTGCTCTGGGCCAGAGTTTTAGAGAGAAGTAGGAAGGTCTTGGAGTGAGTGAACAGAGCAATGTGTTAGGGAAGCAAAAAATTCCTTGGCTTCTGTTCTGAAGATGCTCCTATTCCTGCTCAGCCAATCTCTGTCATCTGACATCTATTTTTAGGGACCATCCAGTTGTTTGTATATTTAGTTTATGGAAAATAAGTGCAATATTTATTGATTTGACAGGTTAACTCTACAATGTTTCCTCAACTAATTTTTATATATATATATATATATATACACACACACACACACAGAAATACATATTAAAAATGTTTAAATAGTACTTTGGTAGTATTTTATAGTTTTAAAACACTTTCATGAATAGAATCTCATCTGTCCTCTCAACAACCCTGTGAAAAGGATGTCATCACCTCTAGATGAGGTCACGCAGTTGTTGGAGGTTGATCAGGGAGCCTGTTTGTGGTCAAATTGACATGTCTCAGATCCCAGTTCCACCATTTCAAAGCTTATGTGACCTTGGATAGGTATCTACTACTTTGAACCTCTATTTTCTCACAAGTAAACTTGAAGGACATCACCTGTGTGTGTGTTGTGAAAACAAGAGAACACACAGAAAGTCTAGCACATAGTTCCTCCCTCCAGCAGGCACCTGATAAATGTTCATTCTTTTCTCTTTCAGGAAAACAAGATTTTATGAGAAAGCCTGATATAAGTATTATGTAAGTAGTATTAAGTCTAAAATCTAGGACAGTATTCCCAAATTCTCAGTTATAATTAGAGCACATGCAAAACATGTTCAGGCCACTCAACTGTGAGCTAGAGATGGCAAACAAAAGAGAAAGTTAAAACTAAATGAATGGGGCTTCCCTGGTGGCACAGTGGTTGAGTCCTCCTGCCAATGCAGAGGACAGAGGTTTCAGCCCTAGTCCGAGAAGATCTCACAAGCCGCGGAGCAACTAAGCCCACGCGCCACAACTACTGAGCCTGCACTCTAGAGGCCGTGAGCCACAACTACTGAAACCCATGCACCTAGAGCCCGTGCTCTGCAACAAGAGAAGCCACCGCAGTGAGAAGCCTGTGCACTGCAATGAAAAGTAGCCCCTGCTCGCCACAACTAGAGATAGCCCGCGCGCAGCAATGAAGACCCAACGCAGACATTAAAAAAAAAAAGAAAAAAAAAAAAAACTACATGAACAAATGGACTGATCAAACTGCAACTAAGAATCTGGAACTTAAGTCAGGCCTTCGGCATCCCTTCTGGCAGTCATTCTAGGCTACATCAGATAAAAACTAAATACATGGAAAGCTGCTAAGTGTACCACTGACATCAATGGAAAAATATCAGTTTTTGTCACACAAATATGAGCACTATGATGGCCTATAGTGAACACCATTGGGAGAAATGAATGAACACAAAATGTTATTCAATTGCAAATGTGACCCTATGATACTGCTAAAAGGGCGGGGGTTCAACAAAATGGTTAGAACTCAAAGGAAAACCATATGGAATCATCATCTTTTAATAAGGATACATGACAACAAGAAAGAAAAAGCACACCATAATAAGACTGCGTATTACCCCCCCCCCCTTTATTTTTTTTTTTGGCGGTACACGGGCCTCTCACTGTTGTGGCCTCTCCCGT